GCGCTTGCGCGTGCCCGGCCATCAACCCCGCCCTCGCAACCACCAGCTACGCATGCGCCGTCCCGCCGGACGCGCTCCTGTGGGTTCTGGGCGGCACTGGCAGACTCACCTGACAGTTTATGCAGTAGCCGATTTCAGTAATGACTCTGTTAAAGCACCATCCTCTGGGATGGGCTGTCGGGTGCTGGGCACCAGGTAGGCACCTGCTAGTACCCTGGGACCGAGGCGCGACCTTGCCCTGCAAGAGCCCAGATAGTATCCGATAGATGCTGCGACGGCGAATGGAAGTGCCCTAACGAATGGCCTCCCGACCTCGCCTCCCTTTCCCCGCAGTTGGGTAGCAGAGGGGAGAGGACGAATCTAAGGCAATGAGTATTCACTGCTCTAAATGCTGGGGTTACAGTAGTGGCCCAAACCAGCAACTTCCATTCACCCGCGCTCTTACGTACACGGGAGGGATGTAAAGAGTCCGTGTTTAGGCGCTTAGAATTTTTGAAGGGGAAATCACTAATGTAAATTTTTTAAACCTATTTTCAAGTCTTATAGCCATCAGATACTGCCTGTTGTTGTAATTATACCACTCTCCACCATTCGTCCACCGTATTTACTGTGTGCCTACTATGTGCCCACTCTGTTCTAGGCGCTGAGAGACAAAGGATTGAAATAGGTGTTGTGCCTTTAGATCTTATGTATTATATATTACCCTTTATTTTAAATGCAGTTCATTTCTCACCTTCTCTAACTCTCTTCCCTCGGTATATCCTCTCTCTCTCTCTCTGAGCTCCCGAAATTCATACTGTCTATGTCACTCATCTAGACCTCAGATTCTCAGCCTAGTATGATTGCTATGGCTTTTGTTGTTACTGCTGTTGTTATGGTTTTTTAATGGATGTTATTGATTATTCTTTCAACTACACTGGAAGTTCCTTGAGGATAGGGATGATGTTTGTGTTTTACCAAAAAAAAAAAAGCCGCTCGTTATCCCTTGAGCATAACTAATATTTTTATGGTATTCGATCCAATTTATGAATATCTTAGGGACGACTAGGACATATAAAAACACTTCCAGGAATTGGTGGTGTTGCCGGAGACTTATAGTGTGTCTGCAGAAACTGACCCTCTATGATCTCCACCTCTCAGACCACATCTATGTTGGGGGCATCTCCTATATTGGCCAGGCTGGCTGTGGGGGACTCTTCTGTTTGGAGTACAGCCCAGTAGTACTATAATGAAGCTCTAGAGCAGCCTTGTCTACTAGAACTTTCTACAGTGATGAAATATTCTGAGCATGTAGTTATGGAACATTTGAAATTTGGCTAGTGTGACTGAATTTCAAATTTTAATTAAATTAAAAAACCCACATATGGCTGTTGGCTATCATGTTGAACAAAGCAAAGTCTAGATCTTATACTCCTCATCTGTGAAAATGAGAGTTTATGCCTAGACAATTCCCAATATTCTCTCTAGTGTTCTATGCTTGCAAGTTATTTTCAAGGTATGAATGGGGTCGGGGATGGGGGACTGTTTGGGGGACAGATGTTAAATTCTGGAATAAAGCAAGAGGGGTTGAAAGCTCCACTATGATGGGGTGGGGGAAGAAGAGCATGGTCCCCTAGGGGCTGGATTCTGGAACTCAGTGGTAGAGCTGCCATCCAGAGACAAGAGACTCTGGCTAGCCTCTGAGTGTCAGCTGAACTCTTAGAATCAGATACAAGGCCTTCTTTAGCAAGGTACAAATGCCAGGCCATAAAGGAAAAGAGATTAATTTAATCACATCAAAATTTAAAACATCTATGTGAAAAAGGACACTCTAAAACACTGCAAAAATATGAAACAGACCAAGATTTAATATCCTCAATACATAAAGAAAAATCAAATAAAAAATAGAAAATAGATTTTAAAAATTCTCAGAGGAGAAAACTCTCAGTGAATAGCCACTAAATGCTCACACTTATCTGTGATCAAGCGAGTGCAAATTCAAACCATGACAACATAAAAGAAAGGTTCATGTTACTAAACTTGGATTAATGGGGACGATTTCTACCCAGTCAATGAGAATGCTAGTTGATACAGCCATTTGGAAAACAGTTTGGGAGTAACCTATTTACAAATGAAAATTAATATACCCTCTGGCCCAGCAATTTAACTTCTGGGAATCTAGCCTGTCCCATGTTCACAAAAAGACATATAAAAAGATGTCCCTTTCAGTTTTCTAATAGCAAAAAAAAAAGAAATCAGTAAGAGTGCCCATGAAGAAATAAATTCTGGCACGCCCACAATAGGAAATACTGTGGCAGCAATTAACAAATGAGGCAAATCTATATGTAGAAATATGGAAAGCTCTCCAGAGCATATTGATATGTAGAAAAGCAAAATCCATGAAATATGAGCCAAAAGTTGGTTCTTTAAGATTAATAAAATTGAAAAACTTCTAGCTAACTGATCAAGAAAAAAAAAAGCACAAATGAACAATATCAGGTTTGGAAAAGATAATATCACTACAGATCCAAGCAACATGAGAATGATAATTTGGCAATATTATGAACAAGTTTATACCAATAAATTTGACAACTTAGATAAAATAGACAAAATATTTAGAAAATATAACTTGCCCAAACTAGCAAGATAAAAAGGAAAACCTAAATAGCTCAATATCTATTTTTTTGAAAATTGATTATGTAATTAAAAAAAAAAAACCTTCCCACAAAGAAAAATATTTTTTCAAATAGTTAATTAATCACCCCTATGGTAGAGTAGGGTGACCACAAAATCTTTGCCACTTTTCACATTGGGAGTTGGAGTCTATTTTCCCTCCCCTTCGATCTGAGCTGTGGTTTGTTTTGACCAATCGAATATGATAGAATGATGCTCTGTGATTTCCAGGCTGGAAAGCTCTGTAGCTTCAGTGTTTACTAATTCCTATATTTTCTCTTGAAAGTCAGCTGTCCTGGCAAAAGTCTGACTACCCTGAGGCTACCATACTGTGAGGAACCTCTGCTTGCCACGTAGAGAGAGGCCACATGGAGAGCCTATTAGCACCGACTTGAGTGAAGCCTTCTTCGAATTTCCAGCCCCACCTCCCCCCACCTGATTGCAGTTGGGTGAATGACACCACTCTATGTAAATTAAAATACCTGCCCAAATGATCTTAAATTCCTGACCCACAGAATTATGAGAAAGTAGGCCATTGTGTGAAGCCACTATATTTTTTGTTATGTAGCAATAGGTAATTTACTTTCCTTTGTATCATATAGTGATAACCCTTTACCCCACCAATGTCTGATGCCACTATTCCATATAGTAGATTATGTAGTTGATTTATTGAGTTCAGGATTTTTTCACAAATAGTTTTTACTGTAGCTTTTTATTTTGGTGTAATTGCAGATTCACATGCAGTTGTAAGAATAATATGGAAAGATTCCACCTACCCTTTACCAGTTTTCACTTGCAACATTGTGCAAAACTACCGTACAATATCACAACCAGAATATTAACATTGACGTAATAAATAAATAGAATATTTCCGTCAGCACAAGGATCTCTCATGTTGACCTACTATAACCATACTACTTCTCTCCCGCACACACAGCCCCTCCATCCTAACCTCTGGCAACCACTAATCAGCCTCTATAGTTTTGTCATTTCAAGAAGGTTATATAAATGGGATCATACAATGTGTAACCTTTTGAGATTGTCTTGTTTGTGTCCTTCCCTCCTCTCTCTCTCTCTCCCTCCCTCCCTCCTCTTCTCTCCCCTACCCCTTTCTCTTGGCATAATTCCCTGGAGAGTCATGAAACTTGTTTCATGTGTCAATAAATAGTTCATTCCTTTTTATAGCCAGCTGAGTAGTATTCCATGGTTAGATGTACCTGTTGAAGGACATCTGGATTGTTTCCAGTTTGGTAATATTACAAATAAAGCTGCCATAAACGTTCGTGTGTAGGTTTTTCTGTGAACCTAAGGTTTAGTGTTTCTGGGATAAATGCCCAGGAGTGCAATTGCTAAGTCACATAATAGTTGCATATTTGGTATCCTTAGAAATTACCAGACTACTTTCCAAAGTGGCTGTATCATTTTCTGTTCCCACCAGCAAAATGTAATTGATCTAGTTTCTTCACATCTTTGTCAGTATTTGGGGTTGTCACTATTCTTTATTTTGGCCATTCTAATAGGTGTGCAGTGATGTCCCATTATGGTTTTAATTTGCATTTCTCTGATGACTGGTGATATTGAGCATTTTGTCACATGCTTATTTGCCATCCGTATATCCTTTTTGATGAAATGTCTGCTCATCTCCTTTGCCCATTTTCTAAATATTGAGTTTTGAGAGCTTTTTATATTATCTAGGTACTAGTCTCTTGTCAAACACGTAGTTTGCAAATATTACCTCTCATATGCTGCTTCTCTTCTTGTCATCTTCACATAGGCTCTTGCAGAACAAAGTTTTTTTCCCAAAGTTTTTAATTTAATGAAATCCAATG